CCTGCTCTGGTGCTTTCCGCAGGGCCACTTCCTGTTTACTGCTCTCAATCTGGTGGTTTTGCGTCCGGGGCTGGGTGAACAGACTTGCTTCTCCCTGAGTCTGAAGCTGGAGAACCCGCAGGACCGTGCTTCAAGGCGCTTTTGGGAAGGACGCGGCTCCTCCTCCCACCTCTCCCGAAAGGGCCTGGATCCAGGGCGTCCCAGGTTAGTGCCACGCCGGGAGCCGCCCTCCGAGCGCCACGTTCGATTGGAAGCTTCCTGGGGCAGAGCCTGTCTTTCCATTCTTTGTGCAGCCCCTAGCGCAGCGGGGCCCTGGTCTGTGGCCCCCTGGTAATACGAATAATGAAGAGTGAGACTGGCAGACTCTGAGCCGGTTAACACAACGCAGTTGCTGGGGAGCAGTGCCCAGCACAAGGGGGCCCTGATCTCGGTCGGGGTAGCGCCCAGCACAAGGGGGCCCTGATCTCGGTCAGGGTCGGGGCAGCGCCCGGCACAACGGGGCCCTGATCTTGGTCGGGGTCGGGGCAGCGCCCGGCACAAGGGGGCCGTGATCTCGGTCGGGGTCGGGGCAGCGCCCGGCACAAGGGGGCCGTGATCTTGGTCGGGGTCGGGGCAGCGCCCGGCACAACGGGGCCCTGACCTCGGTCAGCACTTCTCGATGTTGCCCTAACCCACCAAATGGCGATGCCTGGTGGGAGGTTTTTCAAAGGGCGCAGGGACCAGGAAGAATGAACAGGCGGATGTTCAGAAGGGCTGAGCAGCCGGCCGCCACCCCACACCTCGAGAACAGGGCAGGATCCCTTCCTCCCAGCCACCCCCGCAGGCCGGTGGGTGCCGAGCAGCTCTGCCAGCCTGGGAGCTCCGGCCCCAGGAGACCCCGCTAAAGTCTCGTTCCTGGTCCAATCAAGGAGATTCACCCAACCAGCGTGGCCAAGGGGTGGGGAGGGTGGATCCCGTGTAAAATCACGGGGAGCAGAGCAGGTCTGTGGGGGCAGCGGGGGGTGGGTATCGCAGGCTGGCACAGCAGCATTTTACCCTTTGCCCTGGCAGCGTGGATCCAGCCCGATGCCCTTTGAAAGCAGGTCCACCCAAGTTCCACGCACTCAGAGCCCTCCCCTCTTGGGCCCCCATCTCCGTTGCAGGGGGGGGTGAGAATCCAGAACCCCCTGCCCCACCCCAACAGCTGCCCAGCGCCCCAGGTAGCACTGCCAACCCTCCTACGCGGTTGAGATTAATCTTTAACTCAATGTGATGCAACGTCCCACCGCAACTGGCAGCCCCAGGCTAGGAAAGGCGGGCCGGGCCAAGAACTGACTTGGGGAGCAAAGTCTGGTTGGAGCTGGGAGCCGAACAGAGTGGAGACGGAAGTGGGCGCAGTCCCTGAACCCACATGCCAGGCTGGGGCCCCCCGGAGCCCCCAGCCCGGCCCAGATCCCCCCTCCCCGGCGGGCATAGGGCACCCCCACTCACCTCCCCGCTGCCCCCTGCAGGATGCGTCTGGTGCAGAAGTCCCTGTGCCTGCTGCTGGTGGTCACAGCATCCCTGGCCCTGCTCTACCTGCATGTCTGGTCGCCCAAGCCCTACAGCACGGTCGACCTGCGCAACCGGCCAGACCGAGCCCCCGAGCAGCTGCTGGGCGAGCCCTTGCTGGGCCCCTCCAACAAGTTCGCCCACATCCCCTTCCAGCTCAAGGAGGAGATCGTCGAGTAAGGACCTCCGCCCGACCCCGTCCTGGGGATGGGTGGGGGGAGGGGCGGGAGGGGGTGGCCAGGGCTGGGGAAGCCCCGGCAGGGCCTTGGCTGGGGTGGATGCGGGACTGGCCCCTACGGGCAGGGCTGCAGCCTGGCTCCTGAGATGGGCCTTGGGAAGTGGATTTTCCTGGCTCCCAGCCCTTCCCCAGTGGACACTTCCCCAGAGCCCTGCCTTCTCCTGGGGGGCGGGTCCTCAGACTCCCCCCCCCCTTGCCAGCACTGGAGTGCCCACCCCTTCCATGGGGTCATCAGCCTGGGGCAGGAGCAGGAAGGCAGGGGTGGGGGTATCTGTCTGGGGCAGGAGGGCAGGGGCAGGCTGGCAGGGGCATCAGCCTGGGGCAGGGGCAGGAAGGCAGGGGTGGGGGTATCTGTCTGGGGCAGGAGGGCTGGGGCAGGGGTATCAGCCTGGGGCGGGGGCATCGGCCTGGGACAGGGGCAGGCGGGCGTGACCGGGTGCCTGGTCTCCACAGGCTGCTGCCCAGGAACTCCTGCTCGTGCGAGGTGGCGCCCGGCGGGAAGTTGCCCTTCCCCAAGCAGCTCTTCAGCCACCTCTACTCGCTGGAGTTCGCCTCCGCCTTCGGCCCCGCGGAGCTGGCGCGGATCCGCAGCCGCCGGGAACAGGAGTACCAGAGCTACCGGCAGCGGTGAGTCACGCTGGGGAGGGGGGCAAAGGGCTGTGGAGGCTCCTCACGCCTGGGTCATAAAGCCAGAGAGCCCCCCGCCCCCTCCTGCCTGGGGCCCC